CATTGATTTGTACGAAAAGAAGAACATTCCGAAGGTCATCCACTGCGTGCACGCTTTGTCATGGTTGCTCTTCAAGAAAGGTCTGGTGGATTTTCGCATGGGAAACCTTGTCGGCCAACTTGAGTTCGAGCACCATGAGCTCGAACAAACGCAAAAGGGGCTCGACAAGTCAGGAGTAAGCATGCCCAGCTTCTCAGGCATGGCTGCGAACTTTGGTGCAGAGCCCGAGCCAGAACCAGAGCCAGAACCTGAAACTGAAGAAGAGCGAATCGAGCGCGAACTGCACGAGAATGAAACCTCAATTGCCGAATTCCAGGCTCAGATCAAGGGCGCGATGTTGCGGCTGAAACTTGGTAATGTCATGAATGAACTGTGGGATTTTGAACCTTTCCTCATCGATCTCCAGTCCAGACTCCGTGGCGACTGGGCCCGCCAGGTCATTCAGTATCGCTTGAACATGCGGTCTTTTGCAGTGAACTTGCAGGCGGCCTGCAGAGGTTTCATTGTACGATCCCGCCAGCAAGGTGATAGGGAATGGTGCCAAGCTCAGGAGCTTGATGTCCTGCGGCTGCAGGCTCTCATCAGAGGTGCAAAGGCAAGAACTCAAGTCCAGTGTCTCCGGGTTCGGACGCGAAAAGAACAATCGGGCATCAAGCAGATTCAAGCAGCTATTCGAGGCGCCCTGCAACGGAAGAAAGTTTGCGCCGTATACGAAGACACCAGGGCCATAGAGCCTCAGGTCATCGCATTGCAAGCTGCTGTGCGAGGCGCTCTTCGTCGCAAAATGATCTCAGAGCAACACGAAGAGACGCAATGCGCTGAAGACGGAATTACGCGACTCCAATCGCTCATTCGAGGTGCTCATTTCCGGCGGCAATTGAGCGCTCAACAGGACGACATCAAGAACACTAGAGATAATGTGCAACAGCTGCAGGCTGCGGTTCGAGGAATGTTGACACGTAAAGCCGTCATTCAGCTGAAGAGTTCACTCGCTGAAGAGATGCCAACCGTGATATCAATCCAAGCCGGTGTTAGAGCTTTGGCGGCCAGAGACCGCTATTTTCAACTGACCGACGCACTTGCAAAGACAAAGAATGAATGCATATCCCTGCAGGCTTTTGTCCGTGGTGGAGCTGTGAGGGGTCACCTGAACTCACTTCGACAAGCGTTAGGGCAGCACACTCTGTCAATCATTGGGCTTCAGAGTATTCTTCGAGCAAAAGCTGTACGGGATGCTCTGGACGCACAGAGAGCGGCGTTGGTGCAAGAGGAAAGGTCAATTCTACAGCTACAGTCCGCGGCCCGAGCTGCTATCCTAAGAAGGCGCCTGGAAGCCGACGCAGAAGCCCTCCGAGCACAGGAACACATCATCGTGGATCTTCAAGCTCTCTCCAGAGCGGCAATTCTGAGAATCAAAGTTGGAGCTGTTCTTGATGAGCTGGAAGATTGTGAGGATGAGGTTAGCCAGCTGCAGGCGCATATCCGAGCGATGATCGTTCGGGTCGATGTCGGCCAGGATTTGGCTGATCTAGCAGCCGAAGAGGAACTGATCACGGACCTACAATCTCGCATGCGCGGGCATATCATCCGATCGAAGTTCGAGGAAAAGCGCCAATATTATCGGGCCAACATGGAAAGGGTCATCAAGGCGCAGAGCATCGTGCGAGGCAGAATCCAGGGTCAGGCATACAAGAGCCTCACAACCGGAAAAAATCCACCAGTCAATACAGTCAAAGGATTCGTGCATCTCTTGAACGACAGCGAATTCGATTTTGATGAGGAGATCGAATTCGAGCGACTCAGAAAATTGGTCGTGCAACAGGTCCGCCAAAATGAGCTGGCGGAACAATATATTAGTCAACTGGACATCAAAATTGCTCTGTTGGTAAAGAACAAGATTACGCTGGACGAAGTCGTCAAACATCAGAAGCATTTTGGAGGTCATGTTGGCAGCCTCTTGTCCAATGCAGACATCTCGTCAAAAGACCCATTTGACCTCAAAGCCTTGAATAAGACATCTAGGAAAAAGTTGGAGCACTATCAAGTGCTCTTCTTTCTCCTGCAAACACAATCTCAGTACCTTGCCAAGCTTTTCCGCAGACTGCGAGAGCTGAACACACCGGAAAAGGAGTATGAGAGAATAAGGCACTTGATGATGGGGCTCTTCGGTTATTCCCAGAAGAGACGCGAAGAGTACTACCTCATTAAGTTGCTATCCCGCTCAGCGAAGGAGGAGATTGAGAGTTTCGATTCGTTGCATGAATATCTGCGCTGTAACTCGTTCTGGAACAAGCTATTCGCATCCTACATCAAGTCTCCCAGAGATCGGAAATTCATGCGCGATGTCCTTGGGCCACTTGTCAGAGAAAACGTGGTCGAGAATCCAGAGCTGGATCTGGAAAGCGACCCCATCCAAATATACCGCTCGGCGATCAATAACGAAGAACTGCGTACCGGCAGGAGAAGTCGGCGGCCACTGGACCTTCCCAGAGAAGAGGCCATCAGAGATCCCGAAACGAGAGCGACATTTATCCAAAATCTGCAGGATCTTCGTGACATTGCAGACCAATTTTTCACTGCGCTCGAAGAACTCCTCTATCGCATGCCCTTTGGAATTCGTTATATCACGCAACAGATGTATGAGTGCCTCCTTTCCCGGTTCCCAGGAGAGAATCCCGGCTTCATTCTCCAGGCCGTCGGTCATTGGGTCTGGAGAAACTACTTCCAGCCTGCCATGGTTGAACCAGAGAAATATGGTGTCATAGAACGTAGTCTCACTCAGGAGCAGAAGAGAAATCTGTCTGAAATTGCCAAGGTTGTGGCCCAGGTCGCCTCCGGAAGACTTTTTGGCACGGAGAATGTCTACCTGCAGCCACTGAACAGCTATGTTGCCGATTCAATTCAGCGACTCGGCCGAATTTGGGGCGACAGTAAGTTTGCTCCTTTTCTAGGTACATGGGTATATCGCGCAGAAGCTAACTACGATATAGTGGTCTCGGTACAAGATGCGGAAGCGTATTTCGACATTGATGAATTCAATGACCTTTACGCGAAGACTAAGCCCACACTGTACATCAAGATGTCCGACATTTTTTCGATCCACCAACTTGTTGCGTCTGAGATCAACTATATTTGTCCACATCCCGACGATATTCTAAGGGAGATAATCCGCGATCTCGGAAATGTGAAGACCAACGAAAACGAACTGATGAGCGTCAATTCCTCGGAAATCAATTTGACATTGAATCCCAAGCTTGCGCAAGTAGAAGGTAAGTTGTGTTGTTATTAAAGCATCCGTCTTTGACCGTCGGCTAACGGGAAAAACCTCCCAGACCCCGAAGCAGATGTCAAAGCACTTTTCATGGAAACGAAACGATGTGTCCTCTATATTATTAGGGTTCAGACGGGCGCCAATCTCATGGAAATTATGGTCAAACCACCCACCGAGGAGGATGAAGAACGATGGATGACCTTAGTACGGGACGAGTTAACCGCGAATACCAGCCAGCGAAGCGCATACTCTGAGGCGAGCACTCTGGTCGATATTGCATCCATGTCATACTCCGAGCTGAAACGGACTGCACTTGAGAACATTCTCCAGCTCGAGCGGACTGGCAAGATCCGCCGTGACAACCACTATCAAGATCTCCTCAACGCTATTGCTATTGATATCCGCACTAAGCACCGCCGTAGAATTCAGCGGCAGCGAGAATTGGAGAGCGCACGTCTTACCCTGGGTCGTCTCAACGATCAAGCCGGTTGGTTGGAACAGCAGCTCAAAACCTACAACGACTACATCGAGCAGGCAATGGTAACCTTGCAGAACAAGAAGGGCAAGAAGCGATTCCTCATGCCATTTACCAAACAATGGGACCACCAACGCGAGCTTCAAAAGTCCGGCAAAGTGTTCAAGTTCGGCTCCTACAAGTACTCGGCCCGGAACCTCGCAGACAAAGGCGTTTTGGTCTACTGGAAGGGCTACTCGGAGCGCCAATGGGACCGCGTCGACCTCACAATATCTAGCAATGAAGTCGGTGTGTTCACCCTCGATGGCAGCAGTGGCCCCATGATGGTCCCGGGGGCAAACGCTCAGGTGCCCTTGGACGACTTGTTGCAAGCACAGTTCAACAACATGCAGTTCATGGACTTCTTCGATGGACACTTACGAGTCAACGTGAATCTTTTCTTGCATCTGATTATGAGAAAGTTCTATAACGAATGATTGATATGTTGGGGTGCTCGGCGGGACCGGATTGCTAAGTTCAGCACAATATCCCGAAATCTCCCTAATGACGTCTGTTTGATTTTGTTGTTTTGACTTCTTCGCATTCAATTTTATTCCACCAGTCTTGTGGTTCCTCATCTGCGGATATGAGCCCGTTCCGCATGCTTTAGTTGATGATGACCCTTTTCTTACCAGCGATATCCACTTCATGTCTGATCACCTCTCCTTCTTTCTGCTTCGGAGCCGTGGCATGTCGGCACGCGATTCCCAGCGGAAGTCTTACATTTTTGTTTGTTTCGTTTCAAATTCCGTCTTCGCCTTGAAACCCTACCTTTCACTGTTCCCATTGATGATTCCCCTGTGATGATTTAGACGAGTCTTCTATGTATGTATTGGTCCCATAGTGTTTAGTAGTACATGATATGACAGCTTCCAAAGGCAATCTATATATCTAAGTCATCAAATCGGTAGAAGGGTAATAATGCGATTGTAGGCTGTGATGATGGACATCTCTAGTACATCTCTAGTACATGGGGACATGAACATGTCAGGGGTTCCCACGTGACTTTCTGGATGCCTTGGGCCCCAACAGCGGATGCCAGCTGGAATCCCCGAACTCCCGCCTCCTGGTTGTCCCCGTCTTCCTCGTCCTGCATCTCAAGTCCTTGCATATACTGCATTTTTAGTCTTTCCTTCTTTCTTTCTTTCTTTTGTTTCTCAAAAGTTTGTCGATTCACAAGAGTGCAAATTCACCGGACAACGCTGAGTCTGCGCCATGGATTTCAACAGTCTGAAAGAGCAGGTCAGCAACCTGACCTTGTATGATATCAAGGCGGGAGTCCGCAAGGTGCAGAATGGTAGGTACTCCAATCCAGCATCTACTGGCAACCCGTCTTTCTCTCCAGACTCCCTTCAGCCCTGAACGGTTGTCTACTATGGCGTACGAGCTATTAACTTTTTCTGTTTCTTAGCTGTCATGAACTACACCGAGATGGAGTCCAAGGTTTGTTGTCACCGCCCTGCCAGTCGCATTGGCCGCTTCGCTCTTGTCCTGAGAGAGCGATGACGGACTCCGGGTTGGTAGGCGAATTTCTAACTGCGAGCAGGTCCGGGAAGCTACGAACAATGAACCCTGGGGCGCTTCAACTACATTGATGCAAGAGATCGCCAACGGAACTCACAGCTAGTCAGTTATCCCCTCGCTCCGTACTTGTCGCGATGTCGATGACTCGATGGGTCTGGGCTCGATGCTAACCTCCGTTGCTAACAGCCAGCTGTTGAACGAAATTATGCCGATGATCTACAAGCGATTCACAGACAAGAGCGCGGAGGAGTGGCGACAGATCTACAAGGTACGATTGCGCGGGGCTGGCGTCCACCCGAGACCGGCTAGACTGATTCGTCGTTTTGTGTCATACAGAGTCTTCAACTGCTGGAATTTCTGATTAAGAATGGTTCGGAGCGCGTTGTCGATGACGCCCGGTCTCACCTGTCCCTGATACGGATGCTACGCCAATTTCATTACATCGACCAGAACGGAAAGGACCAAGGTGTTAACGTGCGCAACCGATCGTCGGAGCTGGTGAAGCTGCTTGGTGATGTGGATCTTATTCGCACCGAGAGAAAGAAGGCCCGTGCGAATCGCAACAAATTTGGTGGGTTCGAGGGCGGAATCGGTTCCGGTGGAATGGGTGGTATGGGAGGCGGCTTTTCCGGTTCCTCCGGCAGGTACGGCGGATTTGGCAGCGATAGCCTGTCCTTTGGTGGTTACAGTGGAGGTGTCTATGGGGACGGCGGCGGCTTTGGGGGTGCTTCTAGCGAGTTCCAGGATGCGGGACGGAGAGGGAACCGGTTCGAGGAGTACGACGAGTACGATGAGGGCGACGCCAGCCCGGCGCGGCGTCGCGGACCCAGCCCTCCACGTCCGAAGCAGGAAGCAAAGAAGCCCGAGCCTCCCAAGGCGCCCGAGCCTCCCAAGGCGCCCGAACAAGACTTGTTTGACTTTGGCGAGGAGGAGACCGTCACTGCTGCCTCCACGTCTACTGCGGCTGGCAAGAAGCCTGCCAGCAGTAACGGCCTGGATATTCTCGAGTCCAAACCGATCGATGACGATGACGAGTTTGATGATTTCCAGTCCGCAACGCCAGCACCGCAGCCCACAGCCAACCAATTCGCTATTCCCGCGCCCGCGTCCACGGTCAGTACGACCTCGAGTACCCAGTTTGCCGCTCCTCGGCCCGTCTCTGGCGTGCAAGGGCCGAACCTGAATGGGTTGGTCGGATTTACATCAATGACCCCGACTCCGACATCGAGCACGGTTGCCTCTCCCACACTTTCTCAGAGCTCCATGGTGCCGCCATCGCAGCAGGCAAAGCCCACACAGCCCGCGCAGCCCAAACCGACGGGCTTCCAGGCCGCCACTCCAAACTACTTCACCTCCGTTACCACCGCCACCGCACAGCAGCCAACGGCCACGACACCCGGCCACCGACCGGGCATGCCCTCAACTTCCTCTTTCACTTCTGCCCGGAGCACGTCATCGGTCGGTGGTAAACCGGCGGCATCCAAATCGTCGGGTGACGCCTTTGGATCTCTGTGGTCGACCGCCAGTGCCAGTGCGGGCATTCAAAAATCATCCGCAAATGCTAGCAAGGGGCCCAATCTAGCGAGTATGGCTAAAGAGAAGGCTAGTGCGGGAATCTGGGGAGCCCCGGCCTCGTCGAGCAGTTTCACTCCAACTTCTCCGTCTCCTTCGATGAGCACATCGACACAGCAACAGGGGACGAAGACCGGTAGTTCGGGACTTGACGATTTGCTGGGCTAATTGTCACTAGTCTCTGATGATTCGTTTGTTTTTTCTGTCTTTGCTTTCGATTACCAGGCGAATATTCTCTCCGTAGTGCAAATTTCTGTCAATCTCTCATTCTTTTCTGGTAGGAATCGATATACAGGGTTCTAGGCCAGTCACCAAATATCATCTGTCGATAAGCGCAGTCTTCTCATTCCGCTCTGTATCATTTTCGATATATCTTCTGCATGCCTTGCTGTTGAGTAATCCCATTGGAATCTTTCCTCAGCCCACCACTCCAGCATCCAGAGGGGATCTGGAGATCTGCTGGGCTGCTGTGAGACGTCGAATCCAAATGGTCGAATTAAGGTTGGCACCACTACTAGTATGTCCTTGATACACATCCTCGCTTGGGTATGTGGCCCTCAAGACGACACCGTTTATACACCCCGTCGAGAGACTCCTTTCCTGTACGGGGTTATACATGACGATTGGATGCCAGAATGGGTCATCTCATCGATGCTTCTATTCTAGTCCGTATGGAGACTGAAATTGATCCTTCCACTGTGACCATCCCATCAAATCATTGCCGAAGGAGATAGGTCCTTAAGGTTAGGCCCTGGGCAGGGGCTCGTATTTTCCCTGCAGGCTTCCCTCCAGAATGTGTGCTGTCTCGACGATCAGCACCCGCTCAGGTAAAGTGCCTCCCCTGATGCATACCGCACGTCCAGAGTAGCCCTGGTACGCAAGAATAATAATTCCCGCTCTGGTCCACATGGATGGTTATCTGTCTCATCCTTGAATTCCCTCGATTCTCCTCGTTCGCTGTGTAACCCCCCCCCCCCCCCCCCTCCCGCCAGAAAGACTCGGGTAAAGGAGACTTGAGGCTATCCAATGAGTGTTTGATACGGAGTAGCTGGGGGAAAGATACGAGGGACGGAATGTATTCTTCTCCGGAGTACTTCTATCTCTCTGATGCCTATCTTCGTGGACTTGGCACAGTCTATGACTGGACGACTGGTTCGCAACGTTTCAGCCGCACGAGTGAACGAGTGAACTGTGATTGATTTGGTGACAGTTTTGAAGTCTGTTTTTAGCTGTGAGCGCGTTGATCACTTAAGTACGGTCTAGGCATATAATATAGATAGATGAGGTTCTCTTCGTATTGCTAGTTGATCTTCCTCTGATAATTCCATCCAACTCCATCCCATATACGACCACAATCATGTTCCTCAACCCTGTCTTCGAAAGCAACTTATTACTCCCCCGTCAACTAAACAACGCATACAATGGCTGCTCAGGCGGTATTGGCGACGGAGAGTGTCTCCCATCCTCTCAATGTACCTGTGCTCCGTACTCTGTATCCTGCGACGACAAGCCATCTAACTTGCACAGGCCTCGGTATAGTCTACTCAAACCAATGCCAAAGCGACCCATCTGACTACGCGGCAAGATTCGCCTCTGCTTCTTCTATCCTGTCCTCATACTAACGCCGCATAGTGCTGCCTCCACCGCCAGTGCACCGTCTCCGAAGGAACAGGTTACTGCCGCGACGCCTCAAACCAGACATGCGAGGAGGGCGCATACTTCACCGGCACATCGGTAGAGCTCACGCGCACAAAAAGGAAAACTTCATTGTCAACTGACAGAAACGTATCTAGTACCCCTGGCCCTGTCCGGGGCCGAATAACATCCAATGCTGCGTGAAGTACACCAACATGACAAACCACACATCCACATCCTCGACTCACGCGTCGACCGGGACAGCTACACTCCCCATCTCGAGTACACCTACGAGTACACCCACAAACACAAGCGCAGGCAGCGATTCAACTCAACCCCCAACATCAACTTCCACCGCGCATTCACAATCCGGGAACGGCCTATCCAGCTCGCAGATCGGGGGCATCGTCGGGGGCGTCCTCGCGGCCGGGGTGCTAGGCGGGCTCATCGCGTTCATCTTCTGGTTCCGGCGGAGACGTCGACGGTTGGCGGCCGCTCAGGAGGCGGGGGATCAACAGCCGGCGCGGCGGGATGGCGAGCATGCTGGTGGTGGTGCTGGTACTGCGGTTTCTACTGTGGGATCGGCGACGGGCGAAGAGGATCATGATCCCGAGGGGAAGGATGCTGCGGAGATGGACGAGAAGGAGATTCCCATGCTGGGTGGGCGGATGAGGCAGGAGATGGATGCGCAGGGGGAAGCGGCGGTGCATGAGCTGGCGGTTCCGATGGGCGGCAGCGCGCGTAAGCTGTCGGAGCTGCCGGGGTCGATGGGGAGGATGGCCGAGTTGCCTGGCTCCGAGGTGGATTCCAAGCGATGAAGTTGGCGACGATGCGACGGGATGTATATTGACTTTAGTATGGAACTGGGTAGCTGGTAGGATCGTGGCGTACGGGTTCAAGTATATATACCATTCACTCGTCATTCACTGTATACCTAGTTATAGCATAATCTCTTATTGATTTCCAATCTCACAGAGACTAGAATTGACTGAATACTAGCCCATACCATGCACAATGAGCCCCTTGAGGCCGAAGAATCAAGAACAGATGCTGACACAGATGATGACGCCGGCGCTGGATATTGAAGACAGTAAAAACATGCAGAAAAAGAAAAAGTCACAATTATTTACAAGCCAGAAGTCGCAAGAAGAACGGTGCCTGTTCTCCTTTACTGGTTTGTTCAAGCCAACAAGCGAAGTGGTATATCCTTCCTTTCGTTGAGAGCTCGATTTGTCAAATATAAAGCATCTTCAACCTTTCATCCACCAGGTTATCCGATGCGAATTCTCGTTATAAAATATATCGTGTCATGTGTATGGGACGACACTGGTCTAGTCACCCTATCGGTTCAGAAATCGCCTTCCCGGGCGGTCGGACAACAGCTGGCACTTTGCTCAATGAGTGCAATCCTGGAAGCCCATTCAAGTCTAACAGCCATGAATGACGAAGGTTTGAATCCGTCTGTCTTTGTAGAAACAGACCCGAGCCAAAAACGCACAACGCTCACGACAGACTCAAGGCGGAAGTCTTCCACCTGCAGCCAGTCATCCAGGACGCGCAAGGCCGATTTTGAAGAACATGTCTCATGTCTTCGCCAAGATACCCATCTGGCTTTCCCTTTTTGTCTTTTGTTTCTCCGACATTCGTTGTTCGATTGGTGGGGTGCTGCCGATATCCTGTCCGTTGTGCAGAAAATGTGATGGGTTCGATTCGGCCTCGCCGCCGCCAGCTGGGATGACGGCTGAACTCTCCAAATTCGTTGCGCCGCTGGCACTATGAACAGACCCCCTGTCAGAGCTAAGAGGCAATTGGTCATTCTGAGTTGGTGTGATGGCCTGCTCTGAGTCGGTTGAGTCCGGGCTCAAGTATGTGCTATCATCCTCCTCAGTATCGAGACTTGGGTCGACGCTGAGCGATGTCAGGCCACCTTCGATGTCCCGAAGTAACCGAACAAATTCCTCTGGTACCAAACCGCTTTCACCAGTCTTTGGATCCTCCGCGACTAGCCAGCCCTGGCCGTGCCTGTATGAGACAAAAATCACCTGTCCTTCCGTCAAGGGCAGTTCGTTCTCATGTTCTCTGGTGAAATCAAATAGCGCAACCGCTTTGCCATGCATCTCCTCATCTGGACAGCCAACCGCGAATTGGAAATCGCCCGAGTATCGGTCGGCACCGGAATAATCGTCCTCAGATTCGAACCCTGCATCATGCTCACGGTCCTGATAGTCGCCGTATGTTTCGTTCCCCATTTGAGAATATCGGCTCTCATTCGGAGGATAGGTGACATATTCTCCCCCCGGGCCATCATCTGTCCCATCATCGTCATCATTGACATAATAAGTCTCGCTGCCGTCCGCGTTCATGCTGACCAGTATTCCTCGATCAGCGTCACCGGAGAAATAGGCAGATTGATGGCCGCGACCTGGACTTCTCGTTCTTCGCCCATTCGCATTCATCCCTGTCGACTTGTTCTTGCGGTGGCGCGACGCGGAGAACACTGGGCTATGCAAATCTTCATCTTCGCTATAAGGGGGCCCATCGCCAAACGACATTGCGGGTAATTGCTGCTGTCCATGACTCTGATCCGTTCTCCAAGGGCCCGACGACCATTGACCACGCGAGTTATCCCATGGTGCGGGAGGGTCCGAAAGGCGCCGATGCTCACTTGCCGGAGTGGACACACCGGAGGCACGGGGTGGGAGAGGACCGTAATGAAGTGGGTGAATTGGAGGGTACGCGAAATCCCGAACGAGCGCATATGGCAAGCTGGAATGAAAGATTGGAAACACATGCGAGCCGGGACGAGAGCGATTTTGAGAAGTTGCGGAAACATTCGAGTACGTCGATAGACGATCTTTCGCATACGACGATGTCCGCTGCCCGATTTGTGTCTTCCCGGAAGCATCTGTTATAATAGGAGGTAGGACCGACAAGTTCGTCAACGAGGTGACCACCTGTGACTGCGGCCGAGAAGCCGATGAGGTTAGGGTTGCCATGATGGATTGGCGCGGGAGGCACGACAAATAATGACGGTTATGAGGACGCTCTTTCCGGAAAGAAAAGCTACCTGAGTTAAAGATGTGTCCGGTGAGGAGGCGACTGTTGTTGACGGTAAAGGATGCGTTGCGACTTTAGTCTCGCATCGCGTCGTCGACTCTCCGAATCCCGATCAATGTTAGGTCGCAGGAACACGCCTGATGATATGAGGAAACCTCCCAATATAATTCAGTCGACGCAGATGGCTGGGATCTATGGAAGCAATAAGAGTGAAAGCATGCAGGTTGAGAGGTACTTTAAGAGCTCCTTGCCTACAAGCACTATATGGACGACCGACTGTATGAGGCTGGGGTAAGGTGTAATCCGGATTCTCCAAGTCGATGTCGCTTCGAAAACACCCCTGAGGCGATTCTAGACGCCAGATATTCGCAATGTCTCCAGTGCCTCAGTTGGCGACTGTTGCAACAATCAACGATCGAGATAGGTTCAGTGCGCGGCTATTGGTCTCGTAGAAAGAAAAGCCCCCCCAAGAACGCCTCGGTTCGTCTTTTGAATCGAGATGCCGAACCGATGGAGCAATAAGACGTAAGCCCAGTCGAGTCTTTGAGAAAGAGAAAAATAAAGGGACCCTTGCAACCAATAGCGGGTTCAATGCTGTTGATGCAATAATACTGGACTCGAAGGAATTTTGTCCCGCGTTTGGATTCTTGTCGAGTCGTTTGAAGTGTACGGAGGCGATAGAAGTGGGAGGTTCTAAATATAGCAGCAGCTGGTCCCGGTTAATAAGAAGACAACCAATAGTAAGGACGAGGAACAAACAAGAGAGCGATGAAGGAGAGACAGAGAGAGGGGGGGGGAGGAGGGGTTGCAAGGAAGAACGAGGAGGAAGAGCCACAAGGAGAGTGACTATGCTTAGTTGCCAGTGCAAGTGATAGTAATAATGATTATCATTCTTCTTATTATTAGGGGACAAAATGGACGATCGATGGATGGCGGGACCCAAGCAGGAGGTCGGAGATTACCTTCTTACGAGGTACTGAAGACTCAAAGCCCGAAAGCGTTTAGGATCATCAAGGCGCAGTCGGTGGAGAAAGAGGGCTTGACTGGCACCGCAGCCATGCAGAGACGAGGACGTTGTACCAAAAGTCAACCCAAAATCTCGATCCTGAGCTCTTCAGTGACCCCAATGTATGGGACAGATGTCGAATCAGTCACTTTGTAATCTCCTGGTCGCAGCGTTTTTCCTTCGTCCGCCACAGACTTGGATGTCCCCACGTGACTTACCACGCGCGGACTAGCGTGTTTCAGGAATATGGTGCCTTGATCTATTCTCATCTTGGAATCATGCCTGAGGCCTCATCGTCCCCTTGCGTTGGTCCAGGCTCCAATGCTCAGTTAACAAAGGCGAGCATTTTCTCGCATGTAACCTAATGGTAGGTTGGTATGCGAAACTGGTTGCCCTTGCTTGCTGGAAATGATCAGGCTGGCTGAAACATTTATGAACAGGACAATCCCCCTGGCGAGTGGCAGCCACACAGACTGGCATACATGGTTCTTACAGACGATGTTCAACTGATTTTTTTGGTTGGAAACAATTTCTATTTATTATAAACAAAGAAGAACCGGAGCTGAAAAAAAAAAAAAAGGAATGTGCACAGTACCAGCTGTGCCTGACAAGCGAGAGCTCTAGGGCAGATGTCGACTCCTCTGCCTTGAGGATAAAGGGTGTTTTAGAATTAGACAGGCTTTCGAAACCAGTTCCAAGCTGGAGTAGAGAAACTGGGCGTGGAATAGCTAGGTGTTGATGAGCCTAGACTCGTCTGACAGGCGTTCGGCTGAACGGTCTTGGTCAAAGTAATGAAAGAAGTCACTGTCGCTGGTGTGGGTTGCTTGGGAACGGCAGTCGGTGTCGGAATCAGCCGAGATGTCGAAGAGACAGGCACAGAGAAAGACGAACGTTCCATTCCAAAGACCTCTGCGAACTGAGATGGGATGGCCGCATTGTTTAGTGACTGATCCTCGACATAGTTCGCCAGTACACGGACATGAGTAGGAGGACCATCAATCACATCCACATCGATGCAGGTAGTATAGATCTCTTGCTTTCCATTCGGCAAGGATGGGTCCACTCCCGGAGCTGTAGGCCAGTCCCAAACCCAGTACAGCGTGTAGGGCTTGCCGGTTGGCGCTTCAGATGGGAGCGCAATGTCTTGTTGGCACCAGAGATCGGCTCCCATGAGTTGGTTTGCCTCATGCGGGTACGTGGCCTGGCGATGTTCGGAGATCTGACCACTGTTTATCTGGTAGCAACGGCCATCGTCAAAATTCTGCGTCGACAAGAGGACGCCGCGCCCGTCACCTCCTGTGCCTTCCTTGTTCCAGACATTGTGTACGTCAAGAAGCCGTTCGTCGTCCTTTGGTTCCGTCGTCCCATATACGTATACTGTCCCACGATTCCTGGGTTTCCCAGGCTGGTTCTGGGGTAGGGTCACATGGCCATTTTCCTGGAAGCGAAGGGCGATAGCAGCGCCAGGATTTGCCTGAAGCCTTGGACTACCATCTGTCTGGGATTGCTTCTGTTGTGTATCCTTACACAACCGATCACTCGGAAGGATTTGACTCAGATTAGCCCGGCCATCAGGTGGTATCAGATTAGTCATGGTCTTGTCGTTGAAGGAGGGATCAGTGCGAAGAACATTTCCTCGAGGATATCCTGGAGAGCCAACAAAGGTTCCATTCGGCGCGATGACCATGAGCTGTTCAACCCAAGAATGGGCGACGACTGTTGTGAAAATGTGGGCGAAGACCAGCAACCTCGAAACGGCCATACTGAGAACGCGCAGCGCTTGCATGATATTCTGGCTCCCTCGAAGGACTTAGAGATAGTGACAGAGAGTAGGACGCCGTCCAGCGGTGTTGCCTCGAAACCAGCGAGGTTATCTCTTGCTTTCTGCTCAGTGTGATCGTCGATAGTGTAAGCAGGAGTCGTACGTTTTAGAAATCCATCACCGGTGAATCCCCCTCGTCTTTCAAGTGCTGATTCTGGTTCTCAGATAACACGAATCCCACCGGCTATTTCCACTTATTCTTTGTTGAAATGATTAGAGAGACTGAGACTGACCAAGACCGACCAAGACTGAACAATGGTGAGTGAAGCGACCAATCCACCAAACACAATGGGCATTGAAACACAAAAGATCATGGGACCTTTTCAGTCGCATCTCCTCTTTTCTCCTCAATTAGGCTTTGCACCTGCCTATTCTCAACGAAAAAACAAGTATCATTCTGGTACTCAGATAATGCGTCATTCGAAACATTTGGGTGGTTGACTCAACAGGCCAGTATCAATAGGAAACAAAGAGAGGGTCCAGGATTCTTGCACGGCGCTAAAGGCAGCGACAGGCCCAGATTTTCAAGGAACACTTGAAGCCAATCAATTTGAGATCCTTTGTAACCCTCTGACAGAGGGCTCTTCATCCATATGTATTAGAGGCATCCTGAAGTAGGCGTTTAATGTTGGCGTGTTGCCTTGGGAAGCCTGAAGAACCTGGTGGAACGAGTAGAAGAAAGGTTCCAGGCTCAAGAGCATAACATTGAGACACCCCAAATAGCAACAGCGCGTAGCTCGATTAAAGGGTACCTTATAATCTTCATCGCGGGTCTGAGGAATCTCGAGGTTGTTGCAGGACTGCACGAGATGTAAGGATGCTAAGTTCCCGATTGGCTTTGAATGTCCGACGTGGCGCTTACCAACCGTCTTCAAGATTAAAGGGTGGCAGTACCGCTGACAGGCAAGCTCAAGCCTACTTATTGGCCCAAAGCCTGCTTTGACTTATAAAGCTTCAGATGGAGATTGTTTCTGTGACAGTTGAGAAGGTCAGGAACCGCACGAACAGTGCCTAAGGTTTACTCCGCGCCTTAATGCTAAGCGCAGTGAGGCTATTTCGACAATCTTCCAGCTGAGCAGGTCAACGCTCGCAAGAGATGTCTATATGAACAGGCAAAGTGATAAGAAAGCCAAAACCGAAGTATATCCCTCCTTAACGAAGACTGAAGACAGATGGCCGCCATGCAGAGTTTTCGGCCTTCCCATTCCCAGTGCCTAATTCGAATCGCTCCAAGGCTCTTATAGCTCTGAGAAGCAAACATCGCAGCGGTTAGCTCCTATACTTTGGAGTCTTGCACCACCTGACCCCGAAGGCACTCGGCCGCACTCCGGTCTCTGTTTTGGGTTGTGCCAGGGCCAGTCGATGACTGGAGCTCTGCCATTGTCTCGCTGACTACCCATAATACTGTTATTTGTGTTTATTGTGTTAAGACGTTCAAAGCAAGATGCCTCTTGCTAGAATGAAAGGCAGGTATTATCCATATTCTAGGGCTTCAGACGTGGACTGCCTTTGACACAGTCTGTCCGTCCTTCGGGCTGCACTCATGAAGCACCATTTTGCGTGAAAAGACGTAAAAAAAATCGACTTTCGGCCTACTGCTGACCGGCTTCATCCGAATATTGAAATCTCCTCCAACAATAGTGAAGAGTATCGGGAAAACAGCAACCGTTACCGGATCCCTTCGCAGTAGTAGTCTCCACCGTAGGCTCCGAAGCAAAGGCATGGACAGATTATCGCACTGATTGATTAGATGAAACGAGTGGATACATATTATCCTGTTATCTCCGACGGATCAGGATTCCTCAGTGGTCCTGGCTTTTTCATTGTGTCCACTGTCCACAACTCCACCAAGTTGGCCAAGAAGACGCCCATAGAGAACGACAGGAACCGAACCCAAGTGCAGACTCTCATCTGTAATGAAACAGCTTTTCCCCGTTTGAGTATGCTAGATTGATCGATTGCTACCGGAGACTCGTACTCAATTACATAATGCGCTGGTAAAACTCCGTCTTTCGGAGATCCATACTAGATCTATCTGCAGAAGTTTGAAAACTTCCCTTATTTCCACAGAGCTTTGAATGACTTAGTAGGTAGAAGCTGAAGGGCCTTAGGTGGCAGAGAAATAAGAGGCCGGAAGGAATAAGCTAAATTTTAAAAAGGAGATTTCTTGAATTTCCTGTTCAGTCAATTGTTGAGTAGTCCCCATCGTTGTTATTCTCTTATGTGGATGGCTGAGCGATAGTCTATATTTCTAGAATCCCATCCAGACTCACATCATACTTCCACACTATTGCCACATAGAAGCTCCTCTATATTCATGCTTGGTTTTGCTGGATTACGTGATGAAGGTATATATCTTCAGAATCTATACATGAAATTATCGAAGCTTGAACTGTTAGCAGACTTTTGGATCATGGATACACTGTGTATCTACCATATTCTCGAGTCTCGACTCACGGTTTCTCCCGTAAGGTAGAGGTTTAGCAGATGCGAGGGGGACAAAGAAGGCGAAGAAGGAGTAGAAGGGCAGAGGAAGAGAGAACAGCCATCAGCGGAGTACTTGCTCCACTTCTTCAAAGAAATGCAAGGGGTGCCAGCGGTGAAGTAGCCAGAGTTGTGTGACACGGCGCACACTTTGATTCTTTCCCTCTTTGATCCAAGAGGAGCGACGCTATATGTCTATCCATGCTGAGTCCAGTTCTATTGAGAGTCCAGGGGCTACTTAAGATGGTAAGACCGAGTGATCCGACATACCTTGGGCACTTTGCATCTTGCTTACCTGCTTACTTGCTTGATCACTGGGAACAAGCTAAGTCAATGTACTGCTTACCCTTGGAAGCTACCTTCGTTCACAACATCAACATCAACATCGTCCATCTTACGTGAGATGACTGGTTAGTGGAGATACATTATGCAGTCTTGTAACTGTCATTCGTCGATATGACGTGACCACAGTCCCCGAACTTGAAATACCGGTACTTCGTTGTCTTGCGCCTGTTTACCGAGGGCGGATTCCCGAGCACTGTCCAGAGGATGAAGTACCCGAACTGCACGAACTGCAGAGTTGCAAACAGGTATGTAGCAGTTCATATTGATATCTACTCGTAGCACATCGCAAGTAGTGGTAGAGTACGTAACTCCTTACTCCAGTGGACCCGGGGGGAACACGCTGGATTTTGGTACGAACTGACGACCTGATAGTTCAATCCCATCGATATAACTGCTTGTTGCTGAGAAAAGGAGGAATCAGACTCAACTACTACCTAGGTAACTGATAGCCACTCGGTGAATAAAACCAAAATACAATTCATGAGACCGTAATGACAGGTCAACGGGCTTAATGGGACATTTCCTAGTCAGATAGTAGCCGAAGTACGCCGTAGTATGAGGACTATTGCGTATCCTAGTTGTATGGGCTACGGACTAGTTGGGATTTTAACGACCGGACCCCTGGGATGTTTCCGTATTGATTATTTCTTTGACTAAAGCCCGAAGGCTTTAGTTATCTTGGATTTTAGGATTTTCTTTTTTGCTTAGACTTTATTCCTTTGTCGTCCCCACTCAGTTTCCTCTTTCGCTTCCGCTCTTTCTTCTCCATGATTATAATTGTTATCCTCCTCCCCTACCTTGGTGTTAGAATATAACACTGTGCGGTCGAGTTCAACCTCGTTGTTTCCCGGGAGCCTGGTACAAGCATCTGCGCTGATCCACGGTGCTTGTGGCTGTGCTTAGGCGGCAAAATTAGCCGGATTTACTTATTTCCATCTTCCCCAGCGGCGAGCCAGACTACCTTTCGTTCGACTTTCAGGGGGTCCGCGATCAAGGCAAATTAGGGATAGGAAAAAGAAAGGAGCTGTTGGTGGGATTGGACTTGTTTTTTTTCTACAGGGTCGAAATTCAGCTCAATATTGAAGTGTGGGCTGGTTATTTCAGCGCCCCTTATTGTCTGGTACGTTTAATCCTTGGTGAATGCGTCGCCGGAGATAATTGTCCTAACCGCACTCAAGGTTGTACTTTTTGTTAGAGTCCTTTCAGCAAGCAGCGACCTCTTCGATACTTTACTTCATGTCCACCTCCTGATCTCGAGAACATTCTTGAGATTTTTCAGCATCGATTTGAGAAAATTTGGGACGGTACTAAGCCCTAGTGTCTCACCCCTGCGAACCTTCAATTTCAGCACTTCCCCTAGACAGGCGGCCTACACCGCCTCTCCCTGCTCGCCATTTTGTCTATGATAGACAATGGCTACCTCTCTGATTACAAGGAAGCTTCGTTCGGCAGAAGCTAAGAACGATGCCGAACCGGGATGGTTAAAGCGTCAGGTCACTGGCGTTTTGCAGTCCATCTCGAGTCGAGCTTGTCAGCACCCTATACACACCATTGTGGTTATTGCATTGCTCGCCAGTACGACCTACGTCGGTCTCCTTGAAGGGAGTTTGTTCGACAGCGTCAGGAACTCCAGGAATATTGCCGGTCAAGTGGACGTCGATACTCTGCTTCAGGGCAGCCGGAATCTTCGGTTGGGTGAGAGTACATCTTGGAAATGGCAGGTCGAGGACGGTTTAGCGAGCCAGGACTACACGGTATATCTACATCAGCTTACCTTGAAGTTGAATCTCTCGTCGCTGACTGTTTATTGGCCGCAGGGCGTCAACCATCTTGCTCTAACAACCTTTATCTTCTCGGATTCCCTGTCAAAGTCATCTTCGATCGCTCCTGCCGCAACTGAATTGCCGATTCCTTCCAATGCATCTGCTCAACCAGTGCCATATACACCTAACTTGTTCTCGCCCTTCTCCCACGACTCTTCTCTTGCATTCACCTTGCCGTTTGATCAGGTCCCACAATTCCTGAAAGCGGTGCAGGAGATCCCGGATCCCTCCTCCGATGAGGACGACGGGGAACAAAAGAAATGGATCATGCGGGCCGCTCGTGGCCCGGCTTATGGCTCTGGTGGTGCTATC